TGACACATGGAGGTAATGCCTTGTGTCGTGTGTGCACACCACTTCTTGAATCTGCTTCCCCTCCTTGGTCTGCCTGACCCCAGATTTGTTGACACCCTGCTAGTTAACCTCCCCAGACCTCCTGTCTCAGGGACATCTCGAGTCCTGAGCTAAACCCCACTCAACTCAGGAGTCTTTCGAGAGGACTTCACTGGCTCAGGGTCCATCCCCCAGGTGGCTGAAAGCACAGGCAGCAATGGGGTGCCGAGAAGGAGAGATGTCGTACCTTAGAGTGGCCTCCCAGTATCTGAAGGGGGCCTACAAGGAAGCTGGAGAGGGACTTTTTCCAAGGGCATGTAGAGATAGGATGAGGAGGAACAGCTTCAAACTGGAAGAAGGATTTAGATTAGATATTAGAAAGGAATTCTTGACTGTGAGGGCGGTGATCCCCTGGGGCAGGTTGCCCCGAGAAGCTGCCATCCCTGGAGGTGTTCACGGCCAGGTTGGACGGGGCTTGGAGCAACCTGGGCTGGTGGGAGGTGGCCCTGCCCAGGGCAGGGGGGTGGGACTGGATGATCTTTAAGGTCCCTTCCAACCCAAACCATTCCTGTGCGCTGCCCCTTGCATGGGCTGTCTCAAACAAAACCTCCCATGCTGTAGACTGGAAGGTTTATAAACAAAAAGGTTTATAAAATAGATGGTTTATGACCTCCTGGGGGACCCAAGAGATTTTGTAAACTGTGACAGTCTGAGTGAATGGACAAAATACCACTGCAACCTGACTAATAACCTACCCGCACACAGCGCATCCCAGCCGTCAGGACACCCAAGCGCTCACCGCAAATAAAAGTTACCTCCGCAGAGAGGGCAAGCCCCGAGCCCTCTCACATCCCCTCGCCTCTCTCCTGATGGCTATCACTTCTCATCACCCCGCAGGACAGCAGTAGCCGGGGACAAATTAAAACAAAAAAAAAAAAAAAATCACATGGCTGTGAAATACGAATGAGGCAAAAAAAAAAAAATGCCTTCACCCGACCAAGAGAGCTCTGTCTCCCCGACTGCGCCGGATACAAAGATTGTGAACAAACAGGATAGAATGTCTTCTGCCTTTTGTGAAATGAAAATAAATGAAAGGATCTAAGGTTTCAGGTCACTGATCCCTCTCTTCCCTATCTGTACCATTTATCGGAGGTAGAATATAAAGGTTCCAGGTCCTTTTCTTTTTTTTTTTTTGTCAGCACTTTAATGGTTGTTTTTTCTCCTTCCCCCTTTCATTTTCTGAATGAAAGGACCACTTAGGAACCTGTAAAGTAATAATAAGCTTATAACAGGAATATTGTTTTTCTGGGCCAGTGCAAACTCCTTCTGAATAGGTTGAAGAGATTAAAGTAAAAATGCAATCGGTAAATAGATCAGTCTTTTAATTAGTTTATAGTCTGTTAAGAGATAATATTTTGCTCACATAGATCGCCTGTTATCTAAAGATCTCAGAGCACTTTAGGAACATCAATTAAGCCTTAAAAAAAAGAAACAGGAAAAAAAACCTTGGGAGATAGGTAAGTGTATTTAGATTAATTAGTGTTGCTGTAAGCAGCAGGCATTATTATTAGATTTAATTTAGTCCAATAATTGACTTATCTGTTAATGGATTCTAATTCATCTGAGAAGGGATCAAACCCATCTGATTAAAAGGATTACATCGACTCAATTAATTCTATTAACTGACTTAATTTGCCATTTAATAATTTGACACATGGGGCCAGATCTTGGCCCCGAAAGAGCACACAAACCAAAAATTACCCAGCGGAATTATTACACCAGCGAAACTACGCATTGCGGAGCACGCACGTTTCCTTGCACATGGCATTTGCGCAGCCGGGTAAAACATTCAAAGGGGGCTTCCTCTGGCTGGGTTCTCCCGGCCCCGCGTTGGCTTCTCTCCCTGGACCGGGGCCGGCTGGTCGTTTTGCTGTACTCGGGGTGACTGCCTGGAAAGGAGCGATTCTCCACCTCAGATCCGCCACCTCCCCTCTTTTCTGGCCATTCTCTTCAACCAAGAGGTGAGAAGTTTTACAGAAGTCAATAAAACCTTGCAATAAAACTAATCCCCTTCAAAGGCAGGACGACCCTCCCCCGCCAACCATTTGGGTGCTGTATATGTGAAGAAAGAAGAAAAAAAAAAAAAGAAGGGAAAAAAAATAGCATCTCTTCCCTTGGACACTGTTCTTTAACTAGTTGTGAATGTATGGGAGGAGAGGGGAAAGAGGTGCTAAAATGTTATTAGCTCCCCCGTTCTTAAAACTGGCCAGTGCTAATTGCTGGTGATGAGCACTGTGGACCTCAGCCACAGCCGTGCTGCTCAACAGAGCTTCCCACATTAGACTGAGTCCGTGTTGCCCTTGCCTCACGGTACCTTCTCCTACCGGGACCGAGCCATCGGGAGAATTCAGGGAATTCTCACCGTCACCTTTTCCCACCTCTCTTGCCTTTACTCAGCTCTTGGCACATCCTCCCAAAGCCTTTATTGGGCTGTGATCCTTAGGACATCAACCCACACCACCTCCACCGCCATCTCCCCTGTCAAGTGGGGACGGGGTTAAGGCAGTGGAGAAGCCGTGGGAGATGGCACCGTCTGCAAGGGCGAGGTAGCCAAGAAAGGAGCCGGGCACTCGCCAGCGCCCAGCCTGGCTCTGACGCACCGTGCCAGCCTACAGGCAGTAGGAAAAGGAAGAAGAGAGAAAGGGCAGGAGGAAAAATAGCCATCTGCTGCACGAGAGGAAAGGTGTCCTCCTTCAGAGGCAGATCCGACCCGCAGGACGGGAGATGGGGATCAGAAGTTTGCAACTGTTGAGATGCCCAGACCTGGTTTAAGCCTCTCTGGTCTTGATCAAAGGTTACTCCATCATAATGCCTCGGGGGGAGGGGTTCCCAGCACATAATGAATCCTGTGTCATTGCCTTTGTATCCAGTTTTGGCTGTAACACAGATGGTTCTCACTTCAGTAACTCTGACATCTCCCCCCCCCCGCTTCATTATCACAGCTAGGAGCTCTGCGTGGTCACATCCTGGACCTCCGTGTCCCACCTCACTGTCTCCCCCATTATCATGCTCGAAGCGTTGCCGGTGCCAAGCAAGACGACGAACAGATTTCCATAACCTTTCAGCAGGGCTAGGGACGGGAAGGCTTTGCAGCTTGATGCAGCACGGAGTTTTATCAGGAGGCGTTGGGAGGAGGGAGCAGGCGGGGGCGGGGGGGGTCAGCAAACAGCCTCCGTGGCCGGAGCGCTCCTGGTCGTTGGAGAGGATTTGTCAACGGAGAGGATTTGGTGGCGAGTGGCACCGCAGGCGGCGGGGCAGCTCCCCACACGGGGGATCTTCGAGCTCTGCCATCGCTCAGCATCGCCACCACTGGTCACCAGCGCCAGGATTCGTTGTTCAGGCACGATTGCATATGTATGAAGGGGACAAGATGGGCTTTGACACATAAATTAGCACTTGTCAGCTGCTCACGGGCACGCTTCCCCGCTGCACCCCACTGTAAATACCGCCTTCTTTTATGGAGAGGAAAGCCACATCGCGTTACCTGACAGTCACCGCGGGCAAGAGCCTTCCTTGGGAAGGCAGCAGCAGCCACTAGTTTACATATCAAACCTTAAGAGGATGAATGCGATAAAATGACACAATAATTAGCAGCCAAGTGGCACTTTCCACTCCTGTTTTATCTGGAAATTTGGGAATGACAAAGGACGAGGTTGACAAGACCTCAGGGCAGGGCTTTCTCCGAGAGGTGGGGGTTTATTTCTCGTTCCACGCCAGCCAGGTGCTTTTTAGCCACCACCATGGCACAGCTCACTCTGCTCCTCCACCCGCGGCGGTGGCAGCGGCATGGCACGTACCTCATCCTGCCTGGAGCTCCCGCGGGAACAACCGGTCCCAGGTTTTGACCCGCCATCATCGCGGCCCACCTCCACCTCCCCACTGCTGCACGTGAAGTCAACCTCCCGTGAAGCCGCACGCCGGCCAACGCATTCGCACACCTCTGCAGCACTGCATGAACGCACGGGGCTGTACGTCCGTAAGAGAAAAAGCACCAGTTCTCCAAACAGCCCCCAAAATCCTTCCATTCCAGCAAGCAGCTTCAGCAAAAGTACCTCTGCCGCAACCATCTCAAAATGTACCAAAATTACAAAGTTTTTTCGTAATTCAGCCTGCTAGCAGCATTTCTGGCATGTCGCTTGCGTGGAAATCACTGTGAGAATAGCTGAACACGCTGCTGGCCTGGGGGAAGCTCAGTTATTTGTGTTCCTGCAGGACCCACATACCCTGAGATTCAACTTAAGCTCTGGGCTACTCTCAAAGCTCCAGAGTCTGCTAAATTTCATCTCAAACCAAATATCCCCTCCGCCTAGAAAGATGAGAGTGCTTCATCGAGCACTGGATTCACCCAAACTCGAGCCCAGGGTTCATGGGGAAAGAACATCCCCAATCACCTACCCAGGTATCATTTATGAATTACAGTGGACACACTGAGGGCTCATCCCTTGGGCCAAAAAAGATTTTTTTTTTTTTTCAAGCACCATCATACACTAATAAATTGGGGCATGACTGTACTGCGGGACCTGCCTGCAGCTGGGAGCCGGGCTGACAGCCTGCTCCAACACAACAAATCCCATGTTCCTAACCTGGAAAGGGTTTAGGGTTTCCCCCCCCCCCCTTTTATCCTGTTTTTTATTGCTCTTCTTATTTTTCTCCCAAGAGGTTCTCAGCCCAACTTACAGGGTTAAAAGCCTTTGACCCAAGTCTGGGGGAATCCCAGTAAATATTCTTACCATATTTATCTCCATCTTCTCCTTTGGCACTGATCCTCCTGCCGAGCACTTGGATGTGTTTCCCACTTGTCCTGCTGTAGAGCTGATAGAGCCGAAGCTGCTTCCTGCTCACGTCGTCCCTCGCTCGCGTCTGGTTCTCCACGTGTATCCGAAAATCTACATTCTCCTCGGCAGCAAACATCTGAGAGCGGATGGCGAAGGGGGAGAGAGAACAGAACAGACCATGAAACAAAACAAGCATCTTAGACAGAAGGACAGCACACCAACCCGCCAGCAGGAACGTGGCGCAGGAGGACTGGGATTTGGCTGCCCTTCACTTGACAGCTGCGGCCGCGGTATCAGGCGCTCAACGGGTAATTCTAGCCAGAGGTGGCTCTCGACAGTAAACCAAACCTGGGTTTTTACAATCAAACCATGGGGTGGTTGGTTGGTTTCTGGGTGGTTTTTTTTTTTTTTTTTTAGTAAAAACTTCTGCTCGGTCCTGCTTTGATTTAATCCCGATCAGCCACGCTGGCCATAAATTAGACGCTCCTTTGCATAACCTCTACTGGGTTACACGGACACATGTGGGAGAAAGGGGATGGCCAACTCCATTTCAGAGAATTTGTGCTTCACCTTCAGCAGCTGCACTGATTCCCCCGATTAACTGCAGGGAAGAAGTCAAGGGGAAAAGCTATTTATGCTGACATTGGCAGACTGGACTCTCGCTTCACACAGGCATAAAACCTACTACGATAACAGTGTCATTCGTACACAGGCACTCTTCAGCCTAACTTTTTTTGCCAGCGCTGCTTTTCAGAGAAGCCAGGCCATTGGTGACCATCTATGGGCGCATCTCTGTCTGCCTCAAGAGGCTCACGGCTTGGGGAGATGCTCACGAGGGCCAGTGACAGCCAATCCAGCAGGTCCAGCCGTGAGGCTGTTATCAGCAGGGGCCTGATCACTTCAGCCACTTCATCTGCTTTTTCTGGCCAATGGATTAAATTAACCTTAGTTCACTACAGCCTTAAAATATTACCAGAAACTTTCTCTGACACATCTGCCCTTCTCTGGAGGTCTTGTTTCCCATCTTAACTGTTCCCAAGAGACACCAAAATGGGATTCCTGCTTTTGCTTCCAGAGACATGTCCCACCTTGCCCAATGTCAAAGGACCAGACAACCCAGATGTTCTAAAGACACCCTCCCAAAGGGGATGCTGGGCAGCACGCACCCAAAAGCACTTTACACCCAAACGCCACGAAAGCCCAGCAATCGCTCCACGATCCGTCCCCGAGAGCGTCTGCACCACAGCATCCACACTGCCCCCTCCAAACTCATAGAGGGACAATATTTCAGTGGTAGACTCCCTTCACGTGACCATAAATCATTCCGAAACCAAAAATCACAAGATCAGCGAGTGGCACACACACCAAACCACCACGCAACAGGCAATACTAAATTTGACTGAGACAAAGACCATTCAAAAATCTACTCCTTGTCGGCGAGTTTTAATGCTGTGTGTACCACTTGCACGTAAGAGACAAAATCCACCACAAAATAAGAATCTTACTGGAATTTAATGATGCCTAGGTCTGGAACTGGCAGAGGAACGACATTTACTCCTAGCAGGGCTACCACCTCTCCTCCCACCACATTCCTGCGCTTGTCCTCCCAGCCTGCAAGGAACAGTGTTCTGCTATACTGGTGTGGGGATGGAGCTGGCAATGCAAATGAAAAAGGGTCAATAAATCCTCATTCAGGTCCATTCCAGGCTAAAACGCCCAAAAGCAAATGGCCATAACATGCAAAACAGCCCCACTTCAGCCTCCTGCATATGTCATCTTATACCACCAAATATTTTGAAGTCAAAAAAAATCTCAAAAGAACTTTTGAGCGTTTCCAGTTATCGAGAAGACACACGGGTCAGCAGCAGGAGGAGAACTTGGGGCAGGCAGCACTGCTTAGCACCAGACCTTCACTAAGCAACCCAAACAAAAACACGATATTCAACACAGTGGCAACAGCAATGAGGTTCACGGGGATGTTGCGGGATCGCCTTTGCTGCCCTTATTAAATGCTGGAATTATGCTATTTGAATCCCAAGTCCTGGGAGAGAAAGCGATTTAACTCTCTTATGTTACCATCAGGAGGAGACTACAGGAGCTGAACGAAAGGAGATTTGGGGCGGCGCTGGGTCTAAACAGACATCCGCAATGATGATAGAGGTGACAGGCAAGAATTACAGAATTAATCATAATAGTTATTTCCAACTCTCAGAAACCAGCGCAGCAAGAAGCCGTGACCCAAAGCTGTGGACGGGAGAGGAGAAGCAGCCCTGGCACCTGCCAGGAGGGCACCACGGGATGTTTGCGACATGAATAATATTCTTTTTCTCTCCCCACATCTCTTCTTGCTTTCTTTTCAAATGCTTTTGTTGCAAAGGATGCTAAACTACTAAAACCAGGGATGTTCGAGTAATGTTGACAGCCTGCCTCGTACCCACAAAAGCCAAGCTATTTGCAGTTAAGATTCTGGCTCCATCATTTTAAGATTTAAAACAGATTTTAAATCAAGATGACGTCCTTACATTGCTTTCACCACATGTTAATGAATTTCACATTTTTCTAGGGGGGAAAAAAAAAAAAACAAAACAGGTGGGATCTGAAGTGGGGGGAAGGGCAGGTTGCTTCGCTTTCTTGGAAACTTCAAACGGAAAAGGCAATCCGTTTTCCAAAACATGTTTTAATTCTCTCTTTTAGTTGTCTCTGGAGCACTCGCACCAGAGGCCCCCAGCCTGTAGCTGCAGTGCCCGGGCGGACTCTGGAGCACCCATGGAGCCGTCCTGCGCTGTGGTCAGCCTCAAACATGCCATGCCACGAACCCGCCTGCGCATGTGTCACGGTTCTCCTGCCCAAGATGGGCTAATTAAGCGTCTCCTCCCTTGGCAAGAAGGGCACACTGCAGCCCAGAGGGATGACATCTCTTCCTCCCCCAGCCAAGAGCTTGGCTGGCATCACCCACAACCCCAACACCTCGTCCGAGCCCAGTGGGGATCTGCAAGGGACACCGACCCCTGAAATAAATAAGATCAGCCCAAGCCTACATCACTCCATCGCTTCTCCAGCGACAGGACCAGCTCTAACCCAGGGAAAGAAATCCTGGAGAAGGAATGTGCTAGAGGTTCTCTTCGCAGTTGACCTGTCCCCTGGGTTCAAGCAGCTGTGGTCCAGAGCAGCAGCGAAACCACTGGGATTCAGTTGCCTGCTTAAAGGTAAGCACACGCTTAACCACCCGCTTGAAACAGGACATGCCGCTGGAGCATGGCCAAGGTGAATTTGCCGTGCCAGCCTGGGCTGCATCTGGCCCGCAGCGGAGAGTATTGATACTCTCAAATAAAATTTCATGCAGTGTCGATTTCACGAGATAAAAACCTATTGGATCATCACTGAAATCCATTCTCACAGTATCGCTGCCCCGAAGAGTATACTCCCTCAAGCAGCTAACTTTACTGAGATAAGAAAGTCCAGTTATATATACCATAAGAGACCCTCTTTCGTAAATCTCAAAAAAAATTAGTAACATATGCCTCCTTCAGTAACTGATCACCAACACTCACTCAAGAAGGTCACCTAAAACCAAGTCCATCCACCCCCAAGCACATTTCCATAACAATCACAGCGCACAGAAACGAATGCAGCAGTGCCTTTAAGTCCCGGCCCCACTTGAAAACTCGAGGGCTTTCACTTCTGTTTACCAAAGCGAAAGGAAATCTTTTTTTTTTCTTTCTCCTTTTTTATTTTTTTTTTTAAACTATTAATATGTTATTACTGCATATAAAAACATCATACACAAACTGACCACCTCCCTTTTTGGTCTTTCAACTGATCATCCACTTTGGAGGTAACAAAGCCTGCAGGCTCCGGCTCCAGAGTTCAGCACAACACGTCCCTGAAATGAACGGCCACTTGCACCTTCTAGCTCCCGACCAGCAATGTGCCCTGTGGGATGTTCTCTGGGGACAGGAAAAGGATTTCCTGCATTATTTTATCTCCTTGACTGTTTTGGTGGGATTTGGGGTTGCATTAGGGTCTATTCTGCAAATCTATCCAACTGGTACGGTCCCCAATCTGTGCAGGTCAACTTCAGCATCTCAGGACAGCGGGTTTCACGTAACTCCATCTCACTCTTTGCCAACACTTTATAGTCTGCAAAATCCCAGTTGTTAAAACAGAGCATCGAATTTGGTTTCAGTTTGATTCTTCCTCTCCTTTTCTTTTCAATCAGTTATTCATCCGTTTGTTATTTATCACTACATCTTTCAGTGATAATATACAGCTACGAAGACATCCTGAAAGTACAGTTGGCGATACAGAGCTTATGCCAGGGAACGGACAGCGTTCCTTTCAAAAACAACCATCACCGCCAGCAACCGATGCATCAGCAATGCCTCACTCCGGAAAGGAAGCGGCTCTCCCTCCTCCCTGTTGCACTTGCCCAGTCGTTCAAGGTAGGTGCATTCTGTCCTACCTCCTTTCCAAACCGCCACAGAACCCAGAAAAGACATCTGTCTGAAGACAGACAAGACTGGGAGATTTTTCAAGTGCTTTTTTTGCCGAACAACTCTCAAATAATGAGTGGATTTCATTTTTAATGGCTTTACGGCAATCCCTCAGCTTAAAGAATGACCCTCCTATTTGTTAAATCTCAGATGGGGGTGAGGGAAAGACCATTCTGCCGATGCAGCCTAAGGTTTCGCCACTGAGTAATCCATGAAACGCTCAAGAACGGCAAAAGCCTCTGACAGCAGCACTGCGATGACAGTCCTACACGCGCTCGTCCCACATCCCTGCACACGCCGGTGCCTTGTTGTGACCGGGTAGCAACCACAGCCCCGCCAAGGTGGCCGAACCCCTCGCGGTGCCAAGCCACGTTTACGGGATTTGGCTTTCCATCCAACCAACCACTGCACATTTCGGTTTCTATTGTCAGCTTTCCAGCGAAAGGGGACGTTGCTCTGTTATTGCTCATGTCACAAAGCGTTACAGCATGAGATGTCTGAGGCCCACAGCACGATCAACTTAGCTGGGAGCTGGACTTCAGAATTCCCTGATTTCCTGCTTTTTATCCTACGGAGCCTCCGAGCCTCATCAGAGAGCAAACCGTATGTCATTCCCCAAACTGAACGAGGAATACAAAATCCC